GTATTTACGTGTATATGTATACGTGTAAATTTTATTATTTTTCATGTTTTTTTCGTCATATATACTTGAGCTTTGGTTTTCATTTCCTCATTTTCTTACTTTTATCAAATGTTTGCCTTATACGTACTTTTATCCAAGCACGTCATATCAAATTTTGTAAAGCATCAGTATCTACTTATTGGAAGCTTCCTTAACAAAAAACTTGATATTAACTGTTTACCCTGCTATGATAACATTTTACAGGAAAAACAGTTATCCTGAGAAAATGAAGATCTCAGAATTTAATGTTGATGTTGAGATGAAAAAAAAAGATTGTACGACACTGAGTCACGAATGTAATTCATGAACGCAATGACAATAACAAAATCGCAAAATGAAATTCTAGACCTTCGTCCACTCGCTTTTGCCGTCCTGTTCGAATTCAATCAGACTAGATCAAGGGAATCAATTTCAAGATATCCCTGGTATTTCTTCCTTCGTCAGTCCACAATATTTTAATTCACGCTTTCGATGTTATTCAATATGCGCCAATTTCAATTGGAGAACTCTCAAAAGAATAAGGACGTTAAGATGAATAGACTTGTATCATATACGAAAGAACTAAAGGGGCGCTACAAATCAGGACTTGCTAAACCGATTACTTTTGAGCTTAGATCCTTTCATCACCACGAATCCCACACCGAATTTTTACTCCTTTATATACCCACTTCTTGGACTGCGGTGATGCCAGCCTTCACTCTAACGAGGACATCAACCCGCTGGGCAGCTTCATCTTCTCAATTAAGGAACCAGACATTACAGGTAAGTTCCCTTACATCGTAATCCTTAATTCGTTTGCCACGACCGTCATCAAAAGAAGTTTCTCTCGTCCGAAACAGTGCCGATTTTTTTTTTTKTTTGTTTTTTTGGTATTTTCAGAAAAGACTTAGCTATCTAATGACCTATAATCATAATTTTTGATAGATATTTGACAACATTATCACACAATTGGTAACAAAAACAGTCGATAAGGACAAAAGTTGCACTATTGCGGCGAATTTAGAAAAAATGTCTATGCAAGTTAAAAGGTTGTGTTTATCAGAGGAATAAATGTCTATGTGTATCGTTTCCCCAGGATGGTATCGCAGTCTTTCCTAACTCTGGTTTAGTCGGATGCCGCTCATATTTGATTTCTTTACAAATTTCGCAGTTGGTGGTAATTTCCTTTAATTACTTCCGCATATTCGGAAAATAGTAGTCGTTCGATACCTGTTTAATATTCCCTCGGATAGACCTATGGGCCAACTATGTTCAATTGTCAGTAYTTCATTTTGATCACCTTCGTTAAAAAAATCATGTGTCCACAACTGCAATGAATARCGTTCGCTACATCAGGATTAACGCATTCACCAATCAATTCTAGTAGATCCCGAAAATTTTTAAATATAATTTGATGCCTTATCCTTAACTTGAAAATAATTTTCCGTTTGAAATTTTTCACGATCCATGGTAACAAATGAGAAGTCCTGCTCTGTTGCATTAATGTGCTGTATTGTACTCGTGCAATTAGATCATGTCTATGTGTTGAATTTTGATCGGGATCTAACAGGTCATTGATGTCTTTCCAAGTTGGATTGCACGAGAAAGTAATGAAGGGCGTACTCGTTCATATGTCGAGGACTGCCGGTGTATGTTGCTGGAAAAATCACCATTTTGCCACTATTTGCAGCATTTTCWYCATTATTAATCGCATCACGTAAGTGAATGTATTCCTCGGCGCGTAGCTTTCGTTGATTCAACCGAATAAAGAGAGGACGTTCACTTTCACTATTGTGCGTACATGTCGACCACAAGTTGATGTAATAGTTCACGGCATTTCAGCAAATGATTAAATTCATTTCGTCGGGTTATAAGGCGGTAGGCATAAAAGTTCATCCAAGAAACTTTTTTGTTGATTCATTATTTAAATTTACTTGCATTACATTAAAATGATAACCATCTTCGCCACGTGCAAAAGAACTGGATACTGTAATGCATCATATGATCGATGCGTTTCTGTAATGCGTCGAAGGTTTTCATTTCGGAAATGGATAAGGATATCGCGTGGCGCGAATTCTGTTCCGACCATAACCACTGCAACATCGTCTTTTACCGGTGCATTGAACCGCCGCTTATGMTCCCGAGTGCTGTTTTGTCTGCTGTTATCACAACCTTATAGTCATCTGTCGGCATCTGGTCTAGAGCTATTTTGAATAAACTTATGAGGCTGTTGTGTTAACGAAATATAGTTTGAAGTTCTAAGACGATTTCTCGTCTTACTTCAGTACTGATTGTTCAACGCCGATCAGCGTCTGCAGCTTTATTACCGGTGAAATAAATTTGAAAAAACTTGAGATCTTCATCTTGAGTTGGGAGCAATGATCCAATTCTGTGGTAAATTTGACCTTGAACGTTGAAAGATTCGGATGGTTAGCAAAAAATGTTTGGAAGTTGAAGTGATATATAACTAAGAAGTGGCTCAGGGGGCTTCATCAATGATGACAAAACAGCTTTACCGTTCGAACAGCACATTCCAGGGGATTCTTTAGCAAACTTCAAAGCACCACAATGTGTGTAAAAACATTGTTCATTGCACCGATCACTAGGTCCGTGCGATTTCTGTAATCGTCATCCTAATTGTAGTTGAACGCGGCAAGAATTGAGCTATTCGCATATGATTGGCATCAAGTCTTTGCGTACATTTTTGGATTGGCTTGGTAGCTCGCGATTAAGAATTTTTTTTTCACTAACTCGTTGAAGCCGTGATTCATGCTCTTCTTCTATATTTCTTCTTGAAGATATTCTGTTACGATTTTTCTCCAGACGTAACTCACGATCATCAACTGTTTCATTTGCTCTTTTTTCCTTAACAACCTTTGATTTGTAGGTTTTTTTTACCAATACTCTCTTTTTTGGGTGCAATTATTTATTTATTACAATGATTGTATGAAGAAACATGACTGTTAGAGAAAAATACAATTTTCTGTTATAATAATTAATTGAACTCGCATCAGTAAAGAGATACATTCGCGGCGCTACAACTTACCAGGAACTCCTAAAAATCCTTAATTATTTACTTCAATATACTCCATTGTACYTAAATATGTTTCATATTGACATATGTATATAGTATATCCACAACACATGTGTTAACACAAATTTGGGTTATAAAACAATAGAATATCATCATAGTCAATAAAAAACTGAATTTGACATTTTTTTTTTCGACGACAGGCGTGGCACATCTTCGACCACCTCTACACCAGAACGAAAACGTTGAAACCATCGTTGTGCGGTGGAAATGGAAACTGTATCGGGTCCATAAACTGCACAAATTTTATTGGCGGCTTGAGATGCATTTGTGCCTTTATCGTAGTAGTACTGTAAAATATGCCGTATTTTCTCTTTATTTTGCTCCATGTTTGCGACGCYATAACTCACGAACGACTTAAAGTAAACGACAATCAATCAAACACGTGTTAGCGCGTGRAAWGAGCYTTCCAAAAWGGTATAGCATGACCCGATGCGAAGAATAAAACTAAAACTACGAGCTCTCAGCGCCAACTACCGAAAATACCGCAAGACTTTTTCGACAACCTAATAATTTAATTTAAGGTTTATGAATCTGAATTTCTTATAATAAAAATTTATTATAGAATGTTATGAAATGTATTAACATATTATATTTATTTCCTTAGTGGAGGGAACATTCTACATATTTGGTTTTTTTTTTTTTTAATTTTCCTCAACACGCTCTATTGGGCGGACATCTCCCTTAGACGAACAAAATCGCTGCGACCGTCAGTGTCCGCTTGTAAGAGCTTTTACTGTATATGTTTAACGCAATCTGACGTCAGAGCAGTGCCTCCAGTACTACAATTAGCAACCACGCTCTCACATTTGGCTAGCGGTGGATATAAAAACAATGTAGGCAGTGACTATTTAATTGGGATTTGTAAAAGCACTGTTTCGAAGCTGGCATCCCATGTGCTTAAAGAAATGGAATCGAAATGGTGCCAACAGTTTACACCAAAGGGTTCCCTTCCGTGTAAAGAGTGGTTTGTGTAGCAATATAAAATTCCTTGAGGTATTTAGTAATATTACTAAATATGAAGAATGTTTAGTTATTGGGTGTGTTGATGGCAAACACATCGGCTTGCAAAAACCCACAGTAAACGAGCATATCTACTTAAATATAATAGATTATCATAGTATCTACGCTGTGATAGTAAGTTGCTATTATAATACATTTCTTGAAATAARTGTATAATTGTTAAATTTTCTATTTTATTAGATATGTGATCACACGTACAAAATTTTGGCTAGTATTAACTGTCAATACGAAGGTGCAGCCTACGACTCATTTGTTTGGAAACGCCAGAACCAGACCAGAGAAGAGTTTTGGAAGAACGATTTCAGCATAACAGGAAAGTTCATTGGTTTTAGGTATATTTTCTTTTTACCACATCGATTTTATTTAGAGTTTAACAGGGAAATCTGGCTACCGATTGGAACCATGGTGCATAACTCCTTACAGAAACGTTTCGGATGGTGCAAGTGACGCTATGAAATCCATTTCAAAGCAAGATGTATCATCGAACGAACTATTGGAATCTTAAAAGGACGCTAGAGAATTTTAGGACATGGAAAGAGAGAAAGGTACCATCCCACAAAAGTGGCAAAATTTGCTAACTTTTGTGCATCATGAAATAACATCTGTTTAAAATAAATTATGATCCTCAAAATTGCGATTCCGATCAAACAACAGATATCGACACCGGGGTTGCGAACTGCGAAACAATAAAAAGTCAAAAAAAGTATTTCTTATTAAATTTAATTTAAAAATGTCTATGTATTTAACCTTGTAAATTTTTTTTTTTCATCTGAACTCAAATACAAAAATTTTGTTCATATAAAGTTAATTTTAATTAGWCGTTTCTTCACGTTTGTTGCTTGTATCACATTTCTTAAATACTAAATAAATAAAGTTCAAAAATACTTAAAATTCATTAAATGCTTTAAACTAAAAATTATTCGTTCAGGTACGAGGTTTTATAATTAATATCTTTCTCAAGTCTTGGAGCTAACAAATGGATTGTTGGATGCGGTGCTTTTCCTCCTTTATAGCAACCTATCTTCCCTGTAGTGCTAGCATTTTCTTCTGTGCAGTTACCAACGTCTTAAGCKTTTCATCTAATCGTTTTTGAAAATCTGACAATGACTTCATATTTTGTTGGAGTAACTCCAACTTTTCGTCACTCTTACTTTTCCTCCTCGGTGTGCGTGGAGTTCTTTCTGTTGACGTTGTAGCGAGTAGCGTCTGTGTTGATGTTTTTGGGCCAGGTAAGAAGCTGGAGAATGGGTTTGTCTTGCTTGCGTAGTTGGGTTATTTCCAAATGCAAAAACATTTGTTATGCCCTCTAGGCAAGCTTCAAGTCCAGCTGCTTCGATTTACAGTTCGTCACCCGCAGTGATTWATTTGTCTTTATAGGGCCCTCCACAAGTACGTTTCTCCGACGCCTTATTTAAGGAAAGCTTTTTCTTTGCTTGGTATTTTTGATCCGAAGCTAAACTAAAAAAAAAATCATAAAAAAATTAATATTTTACCAAAATAAATTGCATATCAGTTACATACACACCTTCCTCCACAACTTAGCATCTTAAACTGGTGGCCCCACGGCATTTAGCTGTAATGGTTAGGTAACTGGTCAAAGATAGGATATCAGTAATTAATTCGTTAACTGATAGGTTACTTTTGTTTTAGCCTCAGGAAAAAAAGTTCTTCTTCACTACACGTCGGTGTGATTAGCTTATCTGTTACTGAAAATAGTTTATTTGGTTATTATTATGATCACCTATGGGTTACAGAAAACTGAGGTCAAATCATCACATCCGTCAAAGTATCACTCGTCAAGTAAATAGCTGTATTTCGGATTAAGACATACGTGAACGATTATATTATATTAACGTATCCGTTCGTTCGAAATGTTACTCGAATGAAAAAGCCAATCGTTACAGACAAATTTGAAAAATGTGAGTAATTAGGTTTTTATAATAATTTTTAGTGAAACTAAAACTAAACTGTCTATTTCTTGAGATTGATCAGAACCGCAATATTCAGGGTCATAACATATTAAATTTTATGCAGATGTTTTGTAAAGCCGCACGAACTTTAACAAATCTTGAAACTTTTGTGGGATGATAGCTTCCTCTCTTGCATTTTCTAAAATTCTCCACCGTCTTTTTACGATTCCAATGCTTTGATGTTTGTTAGATGAGGTTTCAWAATTTGTTTTTTTTTTCCTTTTTTTATACCTACGCAGTATCCGAAAGTGTCGAAGTTCTCCTGAGATCTCTTAGTTATCTCCGCACTATTTTTGAATCCCCTTCTATTTCACTAGAGCTTAAATAAAACATAAAGTCGGGTCCATTTTGATATTTAATTAGCTTTTTTTAGTTTATTGAAAATTTGCACCAGTTTTGACAGTTCCAATTCGACGCCTGGACAATAGGTTATTTGCTTCGTTATTCATTGATCACAGAATGCACGGTTAACTCGCCTCTTGCTATGAGTAATATGTTTGCTAATTTACTAATTCTTAACACACATAATTTGTACACATACGAGTATAAGCTAATTTAACAATAATATTTTAAATTAATTGAGAGCTATTAGTATTAAGTAATTTAAACATAATAATAACAAATATTAAACAATTTTCGGTAACACAGCTTACACCTACTGCAGTTAATTGATCGTCCGTAAATGCTGTACAAAATGACACAAACAGCTATTTTACATATTGTTTAAAGTGTTCACCCAACATTTTGTTAAAAAATTTTTSTTCTGTATTCACTATTAGCGATTGGATATATTGATGTGGCAAGAGAAACTGTTCTTTGTTGTTAATTTGCTTGTACATAGCCATTAAAAGAACAATTTACACAATTATATCAGTTTCGGAAGGATAATGCATTTTTATGAAAATATCAAAAGAGTTGAAAAATGTAATGTGCAAGTTATTTGTATACATCTACCTCAATATTTCATTCAAAGCATTTATTGGGTGTGTGTCGTCTGTGTGGAAAGCAGCCATACAAGCAACTCCATGGTTTTATTTAAAGACTCCATTCTTCGGAACAGTATCCAACTTTACAGTTGACACATTGCCTAAATAATTTCACCCATGGTGTTTTTGATGTGTTTTCTCCACGTGAGCCTTCGTAGAGTTGGGCCTAAAACGCTGCCTTGTGGTACACGAGCCCTTACCCTGTCTCTTATACACATCTAAAACGCTGCCTTGTGGTACACCAGCTCTTATCTGTCTATCAGCGATACCAAAAATRTTCTATTATTTAAATAAGTTTCCAATGTTTTATACAATTCTAAGGGTAGAATTTTTTTATCTTATATGAAAGACTTTCATGCCACACCTTATCAAGCGCCGGAGCTACATGTAGAAATATTGCTGAACGGTACTCCCTGCTAATGAATGAATGAATGAATGAATGATGAGATGTAGTGCGACCTTTGGTCTATTGTGCCCACTCCTTACTCACATTGATTCGCATAGACCCAGCCCATTAACGAAGTACAGTAGACTACTTGGCGCTAGCGAGGCAATGCGATCTATATCCGAAAACAACACTCCAAGGGCCGGAGATCTGCGTCTACAGACTGCTGTGCAGTCAACCMACAGATGCTCCATGGTTTGAGGCTCCTTGTCGCAGAAACGGCAAGCTGATAGGCCCATGCTGTGCAGATGCCAATTTAGCTTGCAGTGTCCAGTATACCGACTAGCAGCCTGAGTTTGTTATTGGTTAGGTTTATTACAATTTTGAACTTTTTCAAATTGTATCCTCCCATTAGTAGCTTGGCGTGTCTCATACCATGAGCTTGTAGCCAATGCTCCTCCTTGCCTACTCTTTTCTCTTTACGGAGCAGCTTCTTCATGGTATGGGRACCCACACCCGTAAAATGTTCGGGTCCTACCATCTTGATGGAGGCTGCGGAGCGGGCAAGCTCTTCCGTCAGTTCGTTGCCGGCTATACCTTTGTGACCAGGCACCCAGATCAGGTGTACCTCGTTTCTTTTCGCAAAGCTATTCAACCTATCCCTACACTCCTGCACTAAAAGCGATTTGATCTCGTCAGAGCAGATCGCCTTTAGCGCCGCTTGACTATCGCTGAGAATGGCTATTCGCTCATTGCGAAGTGCATTKTTTATTTCTATACACCGGCATATGGCATACACTTCTGCCTGGAAAATGCTCGGGAACTCACCCATGGGTATTAAGAGCCTAGTGCGTGGGYCCACAATCCCTGCGCCGGTTCCCTCCGATATTTTCGAGCCATCGGTATACCTCCTCATAGTACTGTTCCTCAACAACAGCTCGAGATTGGAATCTTTCCAATCATCTTTGCTGCCGAGGGTAACCTTAAACTTCTTCCTGAAGGTAACCTTTTTGGTAGCACTATCCCTCGTTAGGAGGGCCAATGGTAAATTGCCACTTATCTATTCCATGCTGAGACTACCTTGCCTTTTCCACACCCCTCTGAGACCCCTTTGGATCAAGTCACAGAGAGTGTCATATTTGCCTTTTGCCATAATTACAATGTCGTCCGCATACCCTTGGCAGAGGATCTCATTATCTGTTAGCAGTGTTAGCAGGTCTCCCACGACTAGACTCCATAGCAGGGGTGATAACACACCCTCCTGTGGGCAGCCTCTTGTTGTGCCGAGGCGAATTCTGGTATCACCTATTGTGGACTCAGCAACCCTTGTGCGCAGTACGGCTTCTATCCATCTACGCAATAGTGCCGCCACATCCTTTTTCTCAAGCGCCTTGGCTACACTCTTGCGGAATGTGTTATCAAAAGCATCTTCAATGTCCAGGAACGCACAAAGCATCACCTTCAAATGCTCCAGTGAACTCTCTATTTCAGAGGTCAGCTGGTACAGAGCAGTACTGGTAGATCTGGCCGCTCTGTAAGCATGCTGAGCCGCATGCAGTGGTGAACTCTTCAGCGCCTTCATCCTTATTTCCTGATCCACGATGGTTTTTAGTAGGAAAGACGTTAGACTTTTTGGCCTGCAAGATTTCGCCAACGAGTAGTCTTTCCTTCCTGCCTTGAGTATGAAGATCACCTTCACTGTCCTCCATACCTCAGGGATATAAGCCATTGCGAGGCTCTCTCTCAGCAGCCGAACTAGGTAAGGCAGCAGAAACTGCTCCCCCTGTTGTAACAGTTCCGGAAAGAGGCCATCCACTCCCGGAGACTTGAATCTCTCAAACGAGGCCAATCCTCGCGGGATGGGCTGTGGATGGATGGGTGGACATTGATCCTCCCGAACTTTCTCCGGAAAGTGCGCCCGCAGAATCTCCATGGATCTTTCCTCCGTATTGGTCGTAAATGTCCCGTCGTCACGTTTGATTGCTATTTCTACGTCCTTTGTGCCCCTGGCCTGAGCTCTGTGCAGCCGACCGCTTTTGGCGTAGTGGCGACATTCTCGCAAAATCTCCTGAAGCTAGCCTCCTTTGCGGACCTAATCTCCGGAGACATCTCCGGTATTCTAATCACATCCCCGTACGATTCGCTTTGTTAAACAGGCTGCGCACTTTTTTCCGAAGGTCTGCTAGTTCCTTTGTCCACCATGGACAGTTTCGTCCGTCTATAGGCGCTTTTAGTAGGCAACTGCCATGACAAGCGTTATGATAGGCGTTAGTTACAGACCCGYACAGCTCAGAAAGACTATTCTCCTGCCCAAGGCCTGAAACGTTGTCATCAGTCTGCCCCCTTCTGCCTAATTCATTGCTTAMTACATTCCTGAAGGAATTCA